TTTTTGTCGATAATAATAGAAATACTAAGACCTGACATATTTGAGATTATTCGACAATAATTTTTTTAATGATTATACAGTTTATAGACCTATTAGATTTTATCAACTTAATATTTTCTTAATTTTAGATTTAATTTTTGTGAGAGGTATTGTAATAAATAAATATCGATTAGATATATAAAGTTAAAGGCCCTATCATCTAAAGTTAGACAAAATTTTTTGCATGACTATCCCAAGAAGAAGTATAATAAATAAAAAGTGAGGTAGATACATTTGAACTATTTCTTATCTCGTAGCTTAGTAGACTAAACTGCGGGAAGCTTATTCAGTCTTCCTCTCCTTACTACGTAGACAATTATAGTAACAATCACACCCTCTAAAATTGGGTTTTTGTAAATGTGAAAAAACTAAGCTAGAGGCCCTATCGCTCAATAGAAATGAAATTTTTTGCATGATTTATTGGAAGAAGAAGTAAATTACAGGGAGGTAATAGTTGGATCCTGGGCTTGTCTCGAAAAGCTATAACTACACCTGAGAAGACTATATATTAAAGGTACAGTTAGATTGTATATTTTCATAGACCAGACAAAACACCTTCATTAAAGCATAGGACTATTATGGCTCTGTTGAATTCCACAAACTCATGCAAATAACTTGAGTGATTGTCTTATTGATATGAAGGCAAGGTAGAATATCAGTAAAAAATTTTGGTTATAGAATGAAAAAAAGATTTATATTCAGAGATACTATTACCTTATCTGCTATATATAATAATTAATTCAGGTCATCCATATTGCTACATAGTTTGTTAGCCTCATATTTGTTTTTAAAGAGCAGATTATTTAATAATCTATAAATATTTATATACCCCAGTCGTATATCAGAAATATTTTTTTCTAATTTTACATGATGAATAAAGCCTATGTTAGATGTTTAATCAACACGCATCATGATTTTTGAGACTGAAATTTTGATATATTTAGCACTACAAATTTAGAATAAGCGTCATAATATATACTGGGCTATGAATATTTGAAGATGCAGGTTTGTTTTCAAAAATACTTGTAAATACATATATGCGCTATTTTAATGCAACCATGTTCTACATATTAACTGTTTATAAGTCACAGGTACTAATTATGGATATCAAATCATAGGCAAATCTATGAATTATTACCTTCTGCTGATTAAACTACGACATTCTGTGATTGTTCTCCTAATCGTATATAAGAATTTAATAAAATTTTCTGTGATCATTCTGTGATAGTTCCTCTAATCATAGGGATCAGAACTGAGTTTATTAAAAATTTAACTTGCTAATAGCACTTCAACAGTGGCTTAGCGATTTTATATATGTTTATTAAGAAAAAGCTAACAGTACTTCAGATACGAAGTATCCTCCTTTCAGGAGACAGTGGTTTATCCAAAATTTACTAATTATTATCATTGTTATACATTAAAATTTAAATAGTCATAATTTTTGATATGTTGTATAATCTATTTCAGGCAGGTAGGATCTATTTCAGATGTATTATAAGCGTATGATTTAATTTTTCTAGCGATTAGGTTGTATGACACCTACCATTTGAGATCGTCTGGTCTGTAAACAAATTCAAGATGTGCAAATCCGAGATAAGCATTTATTACTAGTTAATTATGTGTCCATCTCAGATGTAATAATGATTCAAGTTGTTATAATATTTTTTTTGAAAGACACGAAATAGAAATATACAGAAAATGTTATGAACTCTAGTTGAAGTTTGGTTAAATTATTCTCATAATGAATCTATAATAAAATATAAATACAGGTTAAACTAGGGTAGAACTCTAGTTGAACTCTGGTTAAACTCTAGTTGAACTCGAGTTGAAATAGTAGATGCACAAATAAATCAATAAACTAAACTTCTGCTGATTAAACTGCGACTTTTCGTGATCATGATGGTTCACCTAATACTGGCCTGCATTAAATTTTATGTGGTATTACCTTAATACAGAATTAATTCTTATGGTCAATTTTTTTATTAATAAACATTACGAATAATATGAATAATATCTAGACCCTATGCGATTCTGCGATAAGAAAATGCACAAATGGAACTTAAAAGGGCTATAAGGGCAATAAGTATAACATTCTTAATCAGTAGTTTTATCCAAATTTATATGCCATAAGGAACTTAGAATTCCTAGATTGTCAAGATCGTTGTCTTTTTTACTTCGTAGTACTGATCGTTGAATCTAAGGAGGGTTCAATTTACCTAAAAAAACTACAAAATATATTCAGTATTTGGAACTTATGGCTGAGCGGAATTGCTTTATAGAGAAAAACTAGCATTAGATTTGAGTAACATAATTACTAATTGTGTATTTTTCTTTCTGGCAGGTTCTCTAGATCTAATGAACATGAAGTATAAAAATAAGCATGTTTCCACCCTTAAGATAAGTTAGCAATAACATTATTTTTGCTCATATATATTTTTGTATAAACCAGCTCTGCCAAAAAAGAACCTGTTTAGCATACTCGCAATTTATTTCCAAAGTATACACAATTGTCTTTGCCAGGCTGAGTCAAAAAATACTTACAAGTTCATGTATTAATAGTCTTGCTTTTCTTAACAGTCGTGATGTCCAAATACATTTTTTCATATGTGAGAAGAAAAACAAAAGTCTTTGATACTAGTCATAAGAACATCCAAGTAATGATCAAAGGAATAAATAGTGATATCGCGATGGTTTTTCTTGTATATAAAAATGTTAATTCGGATGAGTCAACAAAGATAGTTTTTATGAATATGACAGCTGAAGAAAAAATAGAACCTGTACGTGTCAAGGATAGAGAAAGCTATCTTATAACTTGGATAAATAACTATGAATTATCTGTGGATGGTAAACGAATTTTTAAGTTAAAACAAAAAAAAGAGCAAGGAGCTTTTCAAGGTCTTCAAGAGTTTTTAGTAAATAAATAAATAATTTTTTTTTATTTGTATTCACACTATGTAACTGTGATTTATTTTTTTATTATATAAATAAAATTATTTTTTTTTTATCTGTATATTATCGCTCTGGCAAAAAATATTAATAAAGAAGGGGGGTTCTGTGGCCTTCCTATGTTTTATTTTTACGTGATTTTTACAATGCAATTTGTGATTATTAATTGATGGAAATAATAGAGTTTTTTTATTAACTTATGCTTTTATAGTCACTATTTGGATTGAATTTTGATATTTATTTTTATAACAATAGAGACAATAAGTTTTTTTACTACAATATTTGCCACTTCTCTATTCGCCTTCTATATGATTTCTTATATTTTCTTTCTTATGGTTTTTATCACATAAAGGACAGGGTACAGATCTATTAAAATCAAAATAATTACTAGATTTAAAACTATGTTTCAAAGTTAAATAAGGAAATCATTCTAATACTATTTCAATAACATGTTGTTGCTTTTCTTCGGGGTTTTTAGGTAGAACAGAAATTGGAAATTGTTATTTAGATAGTGTATATTAAATATTTACTCGCAGTACAACTAAAGTAAAAGATATCTGTGTGAATTGAACATAGATTTTTTCTCATTCTTCCATAAGATTATCGAGCTATGCAGTACTCAAACTACTTTTTAGTATACCTTGACATAATAACTTTTCACCAACTAGCCTATCATGATCTGTTAAAAATTTACGATATTTTCTAGGATCTTCTTTTCTTTCTATTGTGCCACAATAGAAATGTATATCTTTTTTCAAATCTCCACAAAAATACTCTATGGCCTACCTATTTTTCTTAGCCTCTATAATGATTGAAAATTCTTTAGGATTTATTCCATGTTTGATAGCATACTGATGAAGGCGATTTTTGTTTGAATCAGTCTTGGAAATTGAGGAGGTGCAAATTTTGTTTGGTGTTATTACCAATGAACTGTCTTGTATGATATGAATATCAGCATTTTTGCTTTGTATAGATTCAGAAGTTTCAGACTTTATCCAAGGATTGAGTCCAGTCTTTTCTATATATGCTTTATATAATCTAAAACGAATTTTATCTGTCTGAGAACTTGGTAAATCAACTAAGTTAGCATGCCATTTGCAATAGTCATCAGTTAATATCTTGCTGGAGGTAATATCAGAAGACATGTTATTGTTTTATATTAATGCAAGTCAATTCAAAATCACATAGCTGTCAGACACGGAGTGTCCTGCTCCACAGAGAAAAAAATATCGCTGTTCACTTGACCAGGTTTATGTAGACCCAAAGGGTTATTGCTTCGCAATAATTATTTACTTATACAGTTATTTCAATTTCTTGTTGTCTACATTTAATAAAATAAAATCCAGCTTCATATCTACCTCTTATACTTTTCTCATCTCTATGACTCAACTTGCATGCTGGACATAATGACTTGTCAATAATTCCATAATAATCGAATTTTTCACTACTAAATTCTTTATATATATCAGAATATCGATCCAATATTTTATTATGAAAATAAGCGCGGTCACGAGTTTGTACACTTACCTGAGGTGTGGATGGGATCTTAGTTTCTCGAGAGATATTATTTGCTGATACACTTTCCAATGAAGCCTCTTTGGGATGAGATACTATAGGTGTACTTACCTCGGTCATATGAGTGCGTGACTTTAGGTCACACGGTATAGCAATGAAATGCTTCTTGATTGTATCAATTTGCATATTAGTTAACTTCGAGAGTTTATTTGCACTATAAGTTTTAATTCGCTTAATTTTATCTTCTCCAATTACGCTAAATAATTTGTATATAGGTTTAGTTCTTTGAGTTCTTTTACGCAAACTTACACAAAAAATACCTGAAAGATACTGTAGCATTTCATCATAAATCTGCCCACTTGCTAAATCATAGGCTCTCTTATCATTTCTTTGGTTTTCGAGTAAGATATCATCAAGTCTTTTTTCAAAATGCTTTCTATATTGGTACCAGCTCGTAATTTCTTCCACTTTGGCTCGTTTAGTATTATTTTCTGCCAAGCTTATTTTTTCAAATAGATGGACCAATTCGATTGCGAGTGATTGCTTATCTGTAGAATTTTTATCAACATTAACAACTTTAACGGTATCTTCCACTAAAGGTTCTATTCTTAATTCTTCTATCAATGGCTGTACATCTATTTCAGGGATTTTTGTTTTCTGTAAGTCTGTATTTTGTTCTGAGGATTCTTTAGGTAAATTAGGAGTGTTACAAATAGATTGCGATTCCGAAATTTGTTTGACGTCATGAGATTTTTGCGAGCTATCTGAATATGAGTTTTGGGCTTGAGAAGCGGAAGCTTCATTACTCTGTAATAACTTCTTTTCCCGATTCCTTTCTCTTATTTCGTTACGAATCTGTTCATTACGTCTTTCATTTAGAAAATTATCAATCCTTTTATCTT